AGGTTAAACATGACACAGGTTCTAATTGCGCAGGTTGGACACCACACAGGTTAGATCATAAAGACGTAGGTACAAAAACAATTTGCGCAGGTTCATTGTAAGACTACACAGGCTGCACTTTGAGCACTTGAGTACACAGGTTACAAGGGTGACACAAAAAACGTAGGTTGTATCTGCACACAGATCACCTAGTTGTTAATGACAGGTTATTGTTATTCAGCATTGAAATTAATCAATTATTCAAATACAGTGCAGAATTTCCAACCTCACTAATTTCTGGTTTGTACTGTCAATAATATGTGCTACCATCAAGTAGGTGAGCAGAAACAAGGCTCAGATATGCTCTCCATCATGACTCCATTAGGTCTAACCAACTCCTTATAATCCTCCACGGCCATCGCTCCTTTGTGTTGCAACCACTGAATTGGTCGTGGCGGCAGACATCATCATCAGGTATGTGCCTTTTATATGCAGGGCTCGGAAAAAAATGTTGAAAGTAAACATGAACTAGCCTGTTGCCTGTGCCATTTCACCCTTCTGTCACCGAGCTATGCAATGTGCTTCTTGCACAACTGCAATACAAGCCTGACTCAACTAAGCCCACTGTAGCCACTATACATTACATGCAGGCATTTACATAGTGTTAGTACTGTATTCATGCAACTATCATTTTGAAGGTTATCAGTTGGCACCGTTTCGAGAATAGCTATATATATACTGTAACAGTGAGCGTCACAGCTGATGCACCAACACAGAGAAGTACTGCAGTACCTGACTTAGTCACCTGAGGTAACGGTGCTTAGTGGCTGTAATGGGCTGGGAAAGTGGGATGAGTAGTCCAACAGTTGTGTGTGGTGCAATTTCCGCATGTTCCATTTTTAGCTGGTCATCACATATACTTGGTGGTGTGGAACTTATTCAAAATGATAATCCCAATCCTTTGCCAATAGCGGTGTTATCAGTTGGATTGAGGACTTATATAAAGAGGGGGCTATCAGTTTGAACTAAGGTACTTATCAACCTGTGTTGCAACAATCAACAAGCTGCAGATGAACCTGTGAAGACCACAAAACCTGTGCAATTGTTGCAGGGTAGCCTGAGCTGCAGCTTTAGCCTGTGTGTATCTTCCTTTCTAAACCTGTGTCATAGGGACAACCTGTGTGATTTACAGCCAAATGACCTACGTCTTCCATGAAATGGTACAACCTGTGCATTTTTAAAATGAATAGTGCGTAACCTATGTTGAATTTCTGCTTTTCTAGAATACCTGTGTATCCTTGATTTTTTGTACAAAATACCTGCCATATGAGTCAGCCCTCGCAAGGAGGCATGCGCGCGCACCTTCGCCGGCTCCGGAGAAGCTGTTGAGCGGAAACTTCATCGTTGCCTGCAAGCTCGGAAGGCCACAAGCATGACAACCACAGGGCGAATTACCAAGACGAAGACGACTATGGGCATGAGCTGAGGCGGGTCCTAAAGGTGCGTCCCCGCCGTTTGCGCAACACTGCTGTGTATCTGACAATATGTATCGCGCTTGCAGGTCGCGAACGAGTGATGCACCTGCACGTTCCCTGCATATCCAGGATGAAGGACGTGCTCTGCAGTTGCATCTGTCTATGAACTAGTGATACATCATTTGTCCCGTCGTTGACTTGTCCTTCCGCGTGTCATATGTCACTAGTCCATGTATGCAGTCGTGCTAGAGGCGGCGCCTCCAAATATCTATCCTCTCATTCGAAAATGAAGAGTGTATAGCTGTGTGATCATATATATGTGCAAAGGCTGTTTGCATGTCCGTCAATACACTTATTGACTCCATAAATCGCAGATACCCGTGGGCAGCGACCCGAGGGTAACCCGTACCCGTCGTACCCTTGACACCCGGCGCTTGCACCCGTGACCCGCTGTAACCCACGGGTCACGGGTACGGGTTTTTCACGGGTTCGATGAGGGGTCACAGGGGTGACACCCGGGGGTTGACCCGTGCCATTGCCTAGTTGGAGTAGGCCATTCCTTGACACCTTGCACCTTAGACTCGTCCATGGAGATTGAATCCTTTGATACGACGAGTCCAAGGAAGTGAACCGAGGGCTGCTCAAACTTGCACTTTTCAGGCTTAACAAAGAGGTCATTGTCACGCAGCTTCTTCAGGACCCGTTCTACCAGTTGGCGATGTAGAGTGAGGTCATCTGTAAAGATGAGGATGTCGTCAATGCAGACCACGACATGTCCGGTCGCAATTTCTTCCTTTAGGACCTCATTCATCATTGCTTGGAACGAGCTGGGTGCATTGCATAGGCCAAAGGTCATAACTGTTGGTTCATACAGTCCCTTGTGTGTTACGACTGACTGTCGAGCGAGTAAGTGGAGACGAGCGAGGCAGGCAGGAGCGCCGACGAGCTCTGATCGCAGTGAGACTGGAGCGGAGCTCAACAGGCAGGACTGGAGACAAGTTGTGTATTGAGCGAAGTATCTACAGAGCGAAATACACGATGGCTTACCTGGAGACAAGAGGTCGAAACTAGAGTCTCCAGGTAGCAAGGGATCCAGCTATATACAGGGAACGAACAATGGGCGCTAGAGAACAATAGCGTCGCCATAGGTACGAAGTACAAGGGGTGTAGGACAATAGCGGGCGTGGGGACAAAGGGAGCTATTGTCCGTGTGCGGACAACGGGAAACCATAGCGAGTAGTGAACAATAAGGAAACGTACGGGGCAATGGTCCGAATCAAAAAGGAAACGTAGCGCCGTGAGGG